TTTTTTCCGCTAATCACATCTATTTTAGAAATTAATCATACAACAGTTAGATTAAAAAGAGTAAAAAGAAATATTTTGAATCCATCCATTTTATAAAGTTAGTTTTTATTTATTTTATTAACTTTTTTATTTTTATAATGTTTTAATCATCAACCTTAATAAAGACAGTTGAGAAGAGCGATCTTCTCAACTTAATTTACTATGTACTAAATTTTGGTTTAGTTTATACATTTATATATGTTTCTAATTTGAGGTAGCACTATTTTTTAACCTTAAATATTTGTTTAATAATAAATTGTCTTAAGGTAAGGGAAATTAGTAAAGATTCTAAAATACAATTGTTTTAAGGTTTTGATAACAATGAAATGCATGTGACGAGAACCTTTGAAGTTTGGTTGATTGTTTGATTTTTGTTTTTAGATGTTTTTTATTTATTCATGTTGGAATCCATGATTTGATTTCTTTTAATGATAAGGTTGTGCTAAATATTTGTGATTGTTTTGGATGGGATGATTTTTTAGTTGTTCTATTGAGTTGTTTTTTCTTGTGTTGAATTAAGTAATTGGAGTGCAATTTTTATAAAGAGATGAGATGGAAAAACAAATTATTAGTGCATTACGATATTTACATTTTTGAAAGGGAATGAGCGTGTATGATATAAGAAAATATTGAAATAACTTAAATATGTTAGGATTCCAAGTGTGAGTCTAAGTCTCACATTAGGTAGAAATGAAAAAGTAGAGTACCATATAAGGTTGAAGATTCATTAACCCATTTTGGATAAAGAGTGGTGTCATCCTCAGTGAACCTCCTCATAGACCCAACAAATAGTATTTAGGATTCCAAATGTGAGTTTAAGTCCTCCACTAGAAATGAGAAAGTAGAGCACCATATAAGTTTGAAAATCCTTTAACCCATTGCCTTAAGGTTTTGGGTGGTATTGTATCTCCTCAATGAACTTTCTTCTCGATAGACCCAACAAGAAATGAACTAGTTTAAATAATGTTAAAACTCTTTTATATCTTCGATAGCATTGGGCGATACCATACAACCATTGGGCTCTAAGCGAAAAACCCAAAACAACAAGCTCTAATGGACCAAAGCGTCAGGCGTCACTTTGGGACCGTTGGACACTTAAAAGTTAGTGAGCTACAGGGGTTATGGCATTGGGCGCTCAACACCACCTTGCTTTTTTTTTTACTAAATTGTCTTGATAAAATCAAGTAACCTGCTTCATTAACTGTTGGATTTAACTAAATTTTGACAGTTGATTATAAAATAAAAGGAAAACTCTAAAAAAGAGAGTTTGAATAAAATTTGAAAACTTTTTTCAAATAGTGTTAGACGTTGTTTGCAGGAGTTGGATTGTCTGCAAATAGTACTTAAGAATTTTTAAAAGCGTTTAAAAACACAGTAAAAAGATAGAAGAGATAAGCTCATTTTATAATGATTCACTCAACTTGAGCTTCTAGTTCTCTTTTAAACACTCTTAAAGGGTTCCACTAACTTTAATAAGTTAATGAGTTTCACCACTCCTGGTTTACAGTAGCGCAATTGGCTAAATACTGTTTAATAAATTACAAATGAATTTCATCCAAACATGTAAATGGTTCTTCAAATCTTTAGTACTTCATCATCAATATCTTTTAACACTTTGATCTAACTTATTGGTAACAATAAGGATAATTCCCCTTACCTAGTTTCCTACTGAGCCTTTTCTTTAAATAAATAATGCTCTTCTACAACACCTCCAAACTCTTACAAACATTTTTCACTCAATCAAACTCACTTTCACGACACCTTCAATGTTTCTTTTTCTTTTTTCTAAATGTTTAGGATTTCTACCTTAACATAATTAGGAGGCATACCTAATCCCTAACTCATAATTTTCATAATATAATAAAAATAAAATTATNTGAAGATTTTTAGATCAGACTGACTAACCACACCAACAACATGAGTTTATTCTCCAATTCTAATAATGTAGTTATGTTCAAGATTGTTGATTTTGAAATTAGTGCTAGAACTGATGAATGGATGATGCAAAACAGGACGAGGAATGTAGTAATTGTAGCTCACAGGCCAATGCTTTAGGTGATGACAGATCATACCAAGTGTTATTATCAGAGCTTAATATATCACAAAAGGAGGCAATTTCTTCATGTCTTTCTGGCCTCGGCTGCAATCACAAAACAGCCGCGAAACTTATATGGGGTCCTCCTGGCACAGGAAAAACAAGAACTTTGGCCACATTGCTTTTTGCTCTGTTCAAAATGAAGTATAGAGTACTTGTTTGTGCTTCCACCAATGTAGCCATCAAAGAAGTTGCTACGCGTGTAGTAAATATAATGAAAGAGGCACATAGTAAGGAATCTGGTGATTTGTTCTGTTCCATGAGTGAAGTGATATTGCTTGGAAACAAGAACAAGCTGAAAATTGGAGACGATGTTGAGGATATATATTTGGATCATCGAGTACAAGAGCTGACAAAAGCCTTGTTCCCTACTGCTACTGGATTTAGATCTTGCATTAAATCAATGATTGATCTTCTTGAATATTGTGTTTCTGATTATCGTTTATTTGTTGAGATCGAGTTAAACAATAAGAGAAACCTCAAATCATTTCTAGAGTTTCTTAGAGAAAGGTTCCAGTCAGCAAAAGGGATACTAGAATCTTGCATTTCTATCTTGTGTACGCATGTGGGGAGGAGTTTGTTGAAACATAACATTCGGAAATTAGTATGTTTAAGTGAGGCACTTGAATCATTTCAGGGCTACTTGTTTCAAAGTAATTTGCCTTCTAAAGAATTGGAAAAGCTATTTACTTACAAAAATTTACCAGAGATGGATTCTTGGTCATTTGATGGTGCAGCATACAAGCTGTACATGAAGCGAATTGAATGTCTCAATGCTTTAATGACTGTGGTAGATTCAATTGATGAGTTCATACTGATAAAATCTTATAAATATGAATCAATCAGACAGTTTTGTTTCCAAACATCGTCGTTGATATTTTGCACAGCTTCTGGTTCTCATAAGTTGCGCTCTTTAACCATGAAGCCATTTGACATTTTGGTGATAGATGAGGCTGCACAGCTAAAAGAGTGTGAATCAATAATACCTCTTTTACTTCCAGGCATAAAACATGTCATTCTTGCTGGCGATGAGCTTCAACTTCAGTCAATGGTTAGAAGTAATGTATGTAAACACTATCAAACATGTATTATTTTTTCTATCACAGAATTCTTCCTCCCAAGTGTTCATTTATTTCTAATTTCATTTGTGCTTAATTTTTGTGTACAAGGTTTCTAAGGAAGCTGGTTTTGGGAGGAGCTTATTTGAAAGATTGAGTTCATTAGGTTACCCAAAGTCTCTCCTTAAGGTGCAGCATAGGATGCACCCACAAATAAGTTCTTTCCCAATTTCTTATTTCTATTCCAACAAAATCCAGGATGCACCAAATGTNATATTTTCCTCTAGCAGTTATAAGAGAAGTTAAACTTTCAAAAACTATCACTTTTCATCATGCAAGGTTCTGGTGATTATTTTTTGTCAAAGAAGGTGAACTCACAAGGGATGATGCAAGGTGATCCTTCACGTAAGAAGAAGGACAATGATGATTATGACTTCACTAATTTGATTTTTTCTTGGTCCATTGAAAACATCTTAGATGAAGATCTTTACAGGAACAAGGTCAGTGGTGTCACTCTTTCTGCATTCTGTTCTATCTCATGTTCAGAATCATTCAACTTGTTTTTCTTGGTGTAGCGTTACCTTACGTCAAGTATTTTAATGCTTATTTTGACACACACTCACCAGAGGCCTGACATGTTGTTCTTTTTAGTTGGTGTGACTTTTTCATCTGATCAAATAAATGTCTTTGCATGGCTCTTCAATTTATGCATGGCTTGATTTTAATTGTCCTTTGGTTTTCAGGTAGAGAAGATTGCACAAACGTTTCAGTCCACAGATCATTACTTTGGATCTTATACGTACCCTTTGTTGGAAGAAACTCGAGCACAACTATGCTCAAGTATGGAGATGATACACCAAGCTCCTTATGCAGAAGTTATTGGTCTAAAAGAAGCAAAATCAGCTCACAATAATTTGTATAAGTTGACAATTAATTGCTGGAAAAATAGGTTTACTCATTCTGGAGAACCATACAAAACATTTCCTGGTGATTTTTTAATACTATCTGATTACAGACCAGAAGCTATAAAAGACCTCCAAAGGAATGGAAGGATGTGGAGTTTTGTGTCTGTAAGGACAACTGAAGACGGGAATGATGACGATTTCATGTTAAAAGTTGAGGCATCAAAAGAATTTGACCCTACAAATTGGAGGAACAAACCTCTATTTCTCATTTTTCTGACAAATATGATCCCTAATAAAAGAATTTGGGCTGCCCTTCATATGCCTGGTAATTTTGAGATACTCAAGCAGATCTTATGCACCAAGGAGGTAAGAATTTTAATTTTTTGCTTTCAATTTGTTTTTATTCTTAAAAATATGAAGTCTATTTATGTTAGTATTCATTTATTAAGAATAATATTTTTATTCATCATGAAAGGCAGTATAGCTTTTATGGACAAAAAGTGAATAAAATTTCAATAATCGTTGCCAAATGTTTAGATATCTGAATTTTATACAGTGTTATTATATTTGTTAAGAAGCAAATTTTAAGACTAATTTAATTTTACAAAACTAGTTTTAAAGATGAGGTTTCTAGCCTTAAAATGTTTGGTCTTATCTGAAACTCGCAATAATATCTTTAATTCAGTTTCTTAAAATGTCATTCAGTGTAAAATGGTAGACTGGTGCTAGCATCCATGATTTGGTGAAAGCATATTTTCTGCTATTTTGTTGTTACAAAACAGAACACACTATTATTTACTGCTATTATTTTATGAAGATTTTTAGATCAGACTGACTAACCACACCAACAACATGAGTTTATTCTCCAATTCTAATAATGTAGTTATGTTCAAGATTGTTGATTTTGAAATTAGTGCTAGAACTGATGAATGGATGATGCAAAACAGGACGAGGAATGTAGTAATTGTAGCTCACAGGCCAATGCTTTAGGTGATGACAGATCATACCAAGTGTTATTATCAGAGCTTAATATATCACAAAAGGAGGCAATTTCTTCATGTCTTTCTGGCCTCGGCTGCAATCACAAAACAGCCGCGAAACTTATATGGGGTCCTCCTGGCACAGGAAAAACAAGAACTTTGGCCACATTGCTTTTTGCTCTGTTCAAAATGAAGTATAGAGTACTTGTTTGTGCTTCCACCAATGTAGCCATCAAAGAAGTTGCTACGCGTGTAGTAAATATAATGAAAGAGGCACATAGTAAGGAATCTGGTGATTTGTTCTGTTCCATGAGTGAAGTGCTATTGCTTGGAAACAAGAACAAGCTGAAAATTGGAGACGATGTTGAGGATATATATTTGGATCATCGAGTACAAGAGCTGACAAAAGCCTTGTTCCCTACTGCTACTGGATTTAGATCTTGCATTAAATCAATGATTGATCTTCTTGAATATTGTGTTTCTGATTATCGTTTATTTGTTGAGATCGAGTTAAACAATAAGAGAAACCTCAAATCATTTCTAGAGTTTCTTAGAGAAAGGTTCCAGTCAGCAAAAGGGATACTAGAATCTTGCATTTCTATCTTGTGTACGCATGTGGGGAGGAGTTTGTTGAAACATAACATTCGGAAATTAGTATGTTTAAGTGAGGCACTTGAATCATTTCAGGGCTACTTGTTTCAAAGTAATTTGCCTTCTAAAGAATTGGAAAAGCTATTTACTTACAAAAATTTACCAGAGATGGATTCTTGGTCATTTGATGGTGCAGCATACAAGCTGTACATGAAGCGAATTGAATGTCTCAATGCTTTAATGACTGTGGTAGATTCAATTGATGAGTTCATACTGATAAAATCTTATAAATATGAATCAATCAGACAGTTTTGTTTCCAAACATCGTCGTTGATATTTTGCACAGCTTCTGGTTCTCATAAGTTGCGCTCTTTAACCATGAAGCCATTTGACATTTTGGTGATAGATGAGGCTGCACAGCTAAAAGAGTGTGAATCAATAATACCTCTTTTACTTCCAGGCATAAAACATGTCATTCTTGCTGGCGATGAGCTTCAACTTCAGTCAATGGTTAGAAGTAATGTATGTAATCACTATCAAACATGTATTATTTTTTCTATCACAGAATTCTTCCTCCCAAGTGTTCATTTATTTCTAATTTCATTTGTGCTTAATTTTTGTGTACAAGGTTTCTAAGGAAGCTGGTTTTGGGAGGAGCTTATTTGAAAGATTGAGTTCATTAGGTTACCCAAAGTCTCTCCTTAAGGTGCAGCATAGGATGCACCCACAAATAAGTTCTTTCCCAATTTCTTATTTCTATTCCAACAAAATCCAGGATGCACCAAATGTGGGAAGATATGACTTTGGGAAGAAATATCTCCCAGGGCCAATGTTTGGTCCTTATTCTTTTATAAATGTAGTTGGAGGCAAAGAACAGTTTGATGATGAAGGAAGGAGCCACAAAAATTTAGCAGAGGTCGCAGTTGTGATGACAATACTGAAAAATCTGCACAAAGGTTTGTTCTTCTATTAATATCTTCAGCAGTAATTTCTAAGTTTTTTCTTACTTTCTTATTATTCTTTCTGTCTTTGGTGCCACACCTTAGATGGCAATGCAACAACATGACCTTTCAGAAGAACTGATATATTTAGTCTGCATTTCTTTACTTGAAAGAAGTTCAGTTCTAAATAAAATGATTTATATGGTTTATCGTTATATTTGATTAAAGGTCTCTATCTACAAAAATTCTACTTGTCCTGGCAGTATTACCTGAAGTTAATAATTTGATTCACCTAAGTCTGAAAAGATTCACTTTATTATTTTCACTTGTATCTTCACTAATTCAAGTAAACAGAAACAGAAAACAGAAAGGTAGTGCCTTTACAATCCATGATGTCTGAATTTGAATAAAGGGCTACCTTTTCTTTGATGCAGCATGGTTGACCTCAAACCATGAATTAAGCATTGGTATTGTGACTCCCTATGCTGGCCAAGTTGCTGCAATTCAGGAGAAACTCGGAAAGATTTATGAAAGTGATGATGGATTTAATGTCGTGGTGATGTCTGTTGATGGTTTTCAAGGAGGGGAGAAGGATATTATTATGTTATCAACTGTAAGAACAAGCAGTAGATCATCTCTTGAGTTCATTTCCTCTCCGCAGAGGACTAATGTTGCTCTTACAAGAGCTAGGTACATCTTTTGCTCTTAACTTTTCTATTTATTGCAGTCTTATTTGTTTTTCAGGGTACCATATTAACTGAAAAACTGCATTTGGTTTCATATCTTGCAGGCACTGCTTATGGATTTTGGGGAATGAATGGGCCATTACAAAGAATGAAAACGTTTGGAATGCTATTGTGCTTGATGCCAAGAAACGTAATTGTTTCTTTAATGCAGAACAAGACGAGGAAATGGCGACAGCTATATTGGATTCCAAGAAAGAGGCAGATCAGTTTGATGATTTGCTTGATACAAATAGTGTCCTCTTCAAAAATAAATTGTGGAAGGTATACAGTCTTGGACTTAATTTTTATACTTGTTTTTTTATTAATTTCTATTGTTCATTGATACTTTGACAGTTCTCACTTTTTTCTTCTTGGGTTGCATCGGTAATGAGTTGTTAGCAACTTTTTCAATGTTTATTTCCTTAATAATATTTGAATGCACAACATCTAGCATTTCCTGAAGTAATCGATGTTTGATATTTGATAACTCATTAAAAGTAAGTATAGTTGAAATAAATCATTGATTCTCTCCGTATGTGCTGGATCTATTCTTAACATTGCTGCCAATGTACGTATACTGCAGGTTGATTTTACTGACAAATTCCGGAGGTCATTCAAACGGCTAAAGTTTGAAGCGAGCAAGAATAAGGTTATCAACCTTATTGAAAGGCTTTCCAGTGGATGGAGGCCGAAATGGAATAATGTGGATTTGTATTGTGAGAATTCAACTCATATTTTGAAAAAGTTTAAGGTTGAAACTAACTATGTTATTTGTTCAATAGAAATAGTCAAAGGTTCAAGGTATATTCAGGTTTTGAAGATATGGAACATATTGCCTTTAGAGGATATCCAACAGTTGGCTAAACGCCTTGACAATTTGTTCAAAAGATACACCGATGAATATATCAGGATGTGCAAAAAGAAAGGAACAAATAACCTTCGGTGAGTGCTTTCAATTGCATTAATTAATGTAAAAGCATTTAAGCTCTTATTGCATTAACTGATAAGGAGAATGGTCTTTTCTCCTTGTGAACAGGGACATGGAGTTTCCATTGAATTGGCCACTTTCAGCCAATATCCAAAAGTTTGAGAATGTTCATAATAATGTAAATGATGGAGACGCAAATGATACAAGTGAAGCTGACAAATCAAGGGCTGAGCATGAAGAGTGTACGTTGTTGATGAAGTACTGTTCCTTCTCGAGAGATTATATGCTTCATGGCAAAGATAGTTTACAAGCGGATCTTC